TCAAATAAATCCAAAGTAACGTAGCTGTCTAGATATTGACTTGTTTAATAGTATAGATATACATATATTAAATAAGACGCAATTTTTTTTATTCTATTTATTCTTTTTAATTTTGTAATTATTTTTTAAAGATATTTTCCTTCCCTCTTTTCTTTGAATGCGCGCATACGCGTGTATAATTTTTTGCAAAAGCTTATCACAATATTATATAAAAATGCTTATAATTTTTAAATAGTAAGAAATATAAAATGTTAAATGTTTAGATTTTACGTACATGTATAAAGATTAAAAATGTGGAATACTACTGATCGCTTTCCACGTAATATGAGATTAACACGATTCTCCTGGAAAAATATGTAGAAGCAAAACGAAATTAACCGGAACTTAGTTACGGGGAAGCAGATACGAGTATATAATTCTGTGCATACATGAAGTCTGTATACCCAGAGCACACGTGTGTGTGTTGTGTGTGTGTGTGTGTGTGTGTGTGTGTGTGTGTGTGTGTGTGTGTGTGTGTGTTAGTTAGTAGCGACGTACGTACGTTACGTTCCGAACTACGTAGTAGTAGTTACGTTTACGGTTTACTAATAGTCGGTTCGGTCCTATAACGTTAAGTAGTGTAGGTAATATAAAGGAATATAGAGAATTACTGAGAGACGTTATTGCCAGGAGGAGTAGGTAGTTTAGTGTGTATTAGTGTTGGTGTTGTGGTGTTGTGTGTGTGTGTGTGTGTGTGTGTGTGTGTGTGTGTGTGTGTGTGTGTGTCGGTGTGTTACCGTGTCGGTTTACGTAGTTACGTCGTACCGATTAACGTCCCGTACGTTAACCTCTTAACCGTCGTTACGTAACGTTTCGTCTAATAGTACGTCTACATACGTATATACGTACGTAATACGAGTAAGTAAGTAACTAACGAAGTAAGTACAAGGTTAACGTAACGTAAGTAAAGTCGAACGTAAGGTTAACTAAGTAACGGTAACGTAAGGTTAACGAACGGTTAACGTACGGTAACGTAGTAGTAGTTAGTTAACGTTCGTTGTATGTATGTATGTGTGTGTGTGTGTGTGTGTGTGTGTGTGTGTGTGTGTGTGTGTGTGTGTGTGTGTGTGTGTGCGTGTGTGCGTGCTCGCACACATAAACGTTGGTCGAGTAATCGTCTGGTATCGACACACAAATATGTACAATGAAAGATTTATTAATTACAGCGCGCCGACAATGTTCAATACATATGTCTCAGTCATAACAGTCTCAACATAAATCATATACGACCAAGCATTATCAGATCAAACAACGCGACACAATGAAGAAAATTATTGTTTTTGCACGATTCGTTTTCAATTCACATACATCTATTTTTTATATACTTATTTTTACGTAAAATACGTATTTCTTTCGTTTTTTTTTTTCATCTTACATAACATGCTTCGTGATATTTCAAACGTAAAAACGAAAAATGAAGATATAAATAAAGATATAAATATAACGTGTAAAATAGTCGCACTGTATTATGCTATCAATAAATCATCTTTTATTATCGATTTGTTTACTTTTTATAATTAAATATTGTTAATTGCCGTTTTATATTTGTATATCTTCTTTAATACAGTTAGGTAGTGTCAATACACGAATTTCGTACGTATTATATAGGAGCCTTCGGTTGTTCTATCGCCGCTAGACGGCTTCCGTCTGGGTAAACATACCGTTGTACACCGAATAGTCTAGCCGATAGGACCGATCACCTAGGGACATCCATCACAAGATTATCACAGAGGTACACTCGCACGCAATTGGAACGTGTGATGCCTATATATTTATGTACGCTTAATAATGCGTAAACTTTTGTTAATGCTCTTCGCTTATATCTCCATTTTTTTATTCATATTTATTCATATTTATTTGCTATGTATATTCTTACATTCTTGTACATTATACATTGTACATTTTCTATGTACTTGAGATAAGAGTTATCTTTTTATTAAAATTAACTTATCATTTATAGTTGGTACATTCGCAGAGTAGCAAAAACCATATATTCATCACGCACGCGTAATTTGGCTGTAGTACGTCTCGTCTCTATCGAATTTAATTCAGAAGTACAGTTTGTGTAAATCGCCAATATATATTCTAATCTAATAGATTTCATCTAAGTATTTGTATAGCTCACAAAATTCATAAACAAACAATTATTAACTTTCATGTAATGATTATAATAATCACTCAAATTTAAAAATAGCTACATTTTTTTCTATCCTTTTTCTATCTTTTTGCATATCTTGCTCAAACAATCTATCGCGCAGCATCTATCAGCATCGCGTGCACAATAGATAATTCATATATATCAAACATAATTAAATAAATTTTAATTGATTTAAAATCATTACATTTGATCATTACATAACATTTAGAATTTGCAAGATCTTTTCTTCCAATAATTTAAAATAGGCTTTTTCAAGAAAATTATCACCTCTTTGAATATTATATATGTATGAAAATCTCGATTGTAAAAAGTATATGTGCGTGCGTGCGTGCGTGCGTGCGTGCGTGCGTGCGTGCGTGCGTGACGTGAAGATTTAAAAATAATGAAAGAAGAAAGATTCGACGGTTAATCTCACAGTCGAACATAATGCAGTCAACATATATGCCATGGCAATGACATTGGCAGAGGGGTAAAGAAAATAGACAAACAAGTGGAAGTGAAGAACGAGAAGAAGAAGAAGGAAGAGCAAGAAAAAAGAAGGAGGAAAAGAGAGGTAGAAAGAGGAGTAGCAGGAGGATGGGGACGATGAGGTGGAGGTGGTGGAGGAAAAAGAGAAAGAGGAAGAGGAGAAGGAAGAGAAGGCGATGGGAATAGACCGCGACTGCGGTCGACGGTGGATGCAGACATGCAGCGTTGTAAACGAGCAAAGTTTCAAATCCAATATGCGCTGTCCAGCATGGATGCTTGGAGCCCATATTCAAGCTGTCAAGGTGCAGCACACGTGCGTCCACGTCGCTTCCCGGTGTGCCAGACGGGTAAACCGGGACAAACTTTTGAACTAGCACAGACTGTCTGGCACCCTACCACCATGTCTCAGAGAACCCGCGAATTCCTAATATGTTATTGTACGTCGACACCATTTTGTTCGCACAATCGACTACAATAGCGTCTGGGTTCTTGACTCAAGGATTTCTTTCCTTTTTTTTATCGAGCGTATCAAAAGTTTTCCCGGGGAATGCCAACTGGTAGATTAATCACACAACTGTATATTCTTTCGTTGTACAAACTTAATCGAAGAAATATGAAAAACTCTAACAAACAAATGTTTGCAACACAAGTACGCACTCTTTTGTATTTGCCCTATTATTTATATTTATTAACAAATCCAATGAACGTATTGTTTCCAACAATGAGTTACTCGTTCGTATTATCTAGAGTTTCATGTTTTTGCGGACGTGTGTGTTGTGTATGTGTATGTATGTGCGCGTCGCGTTCGTGTGCGTGCGCGCGTGCGCGCGTGCGTGCGTGCGTGTACATGTCGCATAATCGGTACATCTCGACAAGTTAGTGTACGCATACGCATTAAATATATCTAGATTTGAATGATGTATTGAAAGAGGAGAGTAAAAAGATAGCGGCAGACGTCACGACGTCTGCATCATTTAATCACTATGCATTGCCTTTACTGATTATATTGTTCAATGTAACAAATTGTTGTATTTGATTATATTGTTCAATCAGTATGGCGTATTTATCTATTTGCTACATTCTTAATTTTTTCCTTTATAAAATTAAATAAAATTTTGTAAATTTAGGTGTATCATTCAATTCATTAATTTATAAAAAAAATTTCAAAAATAATAAGATTTAAATTTATGTATACTTCTTATCTTGAAGCCTGTTCGTCAAAATTTTTCTGTCAAATTCTCCTAAGATTTCATAAATTTAAAAAAATTGAATAAAATTGAAACTATATAAATTTAATAGTGTTTTTTTTGCTTTTTAATCTATCAATAATGTACATTTGAATATATATGATATATCATAAACATAACTAAACATTTTGGCTTATCTCTTTTAATAAATTTCTGAAACATAAGTTATAATGTTGCGATAGAATATAATTATTTAATAATCCGATATACTATAACATAATTGTTGTATAAATGTCTCTCTCTCCCTCCTCTTCCTTTCCTTCTTCTTTTCCCTCTCTTCCTCTTTCGTTTCATCCTCTGGTCTCTAATATCAATCAATCTATTGCACAATCTAAATCGTAATGCTAATAATTATTCTGTTCGATAATTTCGCAATATATGTCGCAATATCAAAAGAAATATCAAAATATTTTTTCTCGAAGATTGTTAAAAATAAATTGATATTTCTATTGATTATAGACTTTGTATTCTCGATGGCTCCTTGATACTAGTGTTTAAAGAATTGAATTATTTAGATTTAGAATAAATATTGTATTTGTTAATCAATAACTAGTACTTTTTTTTAAATAATTAAAATAAAAAATAAATAATGCTAAAATAAAACTAATAATAATAATAATAAATACAGCTTTCTTTTTCTACAAATCCGCGTTTCTCATCAAAGTAATGCAAATAAGAGGAAACTGGAGCGAAATATAATATAAATATATTCATATACATGCGTAAATGCATACACAAAAATTAATGAATTACGAATTATAAAATACATGACTATGTTAAAATAATTCTTTATTTTAATTTATTTTTCACTCGTCAGTTTTCATTTTGTTCTTTTGAACTAAATATGTATGAAATAAAATAGTACATGTAATTACATTTTTTTAGAGCCCAAATAAAAATTGATCAAAATGCAATCCAAAGAATTGTATATGTTAGATTAGTTATACAACAGAAATTGCTGAAAAATCTTCTGTAATATTATCTGTTGACACACAATATCTTTTCGAGATTCATAATATCCAATTTTCAATAATTATAATATATTAAATGATGAAAGATGTAATAAAAAATTGCTACGTCTGTTACAGTTACCTCTCATGTATAATCACAACAAAGTTGGTCTTGGATCCAATAAAATGGACTTTCCCAACATTGAACTGGATTCCAATGTGGAAAAGAAACAAACGGTATGGCGGAAAACACAAAAACGTTACAAGGAAATAATGGATTAACTTCTTATAAAAAATTAACTTATGATAACAAACTTGTTCCATACAAACAGTTGGAAATAAAAATCCAATCATTTCTTTATATTAGAAAAGTAAAATGTATTATTTATTATCTGTCTAACGGTATTGTAAATTTGTCCAAATACAAGAATGATTTTGAATTTAAAAAAGTAATTTTGTAACAAAAGTAACACAGTACAGAGATGTACTCGATTAATTACTATAGCTATCTCATTTTTGTATATATGTATATATGTATATATATATATATATATATATATATATATAATAAGT